TCCACTTTAGTTCATCATCTTCACTACTAAAGTGGATGGCATCAACACGCCATCTACTTATATGGATGATTCCGCTATTTAAGTGGATGAGAATCATCCACTTATCTGACGCATGAATTTACAGTGCTCTAGGTAATTCATTAATCGATATTTGTCACTTATCACAACTCTTCAACGCTCTGTAATGCCGAAGTTTAATAGGCGACGATCCCATCCTGTCGCATCAATAATCTAAAAGTGAAGTTCACCACTAATCGTGTCTCCGAAGAAAACAACGACGATTCTTCATCCGAAGATGAAGCAGAACAGCTCTATGGTCGAGATGTACGCGAAAGTGTTGATTTTGTGGCGATTGACAGATTATCGTAGTCAGATATATAAAACAATTGCTGAATATAGTAAAAGAAGTGGAAATAATCAAGCCGCTTGATTATTTCAACAAATTATTTCAACATTCGAAGCGTAGAAATCGTCTAAATCCATTTACATCGGAAGCCATAATAAAAATTCATACCTATCATTGTAATAACAGTAATTCACTCATTGATATGGAAAAATTAGAAGAAGTATTATCAGATGAATTGAAGCCTACTGAAAATAAGAATGCCATGAATGATAACACAAAACACCATACGGGTCCAATCGTTACAAAATTTAAGTCTGATAAATTGAAGCGTGCTCAAAGAACATAAGGCAGTTTATCTGCAAGAACGGATATTTAGAAAATTTTCCGTTAAACACAAAGCACGTATATTTATATATTGTCGACGCATGAGAAAAGAATTGTGTTTCAATATATGTGGGTATCGAAAAGGAAGAAATAAAAAAACACGGTCGATGTGGAAAGCGATTAGATCAAGAGTATATCCCATTATGAGCCATAAAAGATTAACAGTCTATTTCCCGATCGGGATATAAATCCGACTAAAATTAGTTAAAGATTTTTGTTTGAGAAAATAGTTGAAAAATAGCAGTGTATCATGTGTAACAGTTGATATCGTTTCTGTATAACAAGATGTGGCTAAATGATTAACAATCAATGTTCCTTCAAATGTTTCGGGTGTATATAAACCACATTTATATTCTCGGTAAACATTTTTTATTGTAACTAATTGAACATTGACTCCATCTTGCACGTACAATAAGTCATTTGGTTTCAGACTGAATGCCGTTAAAAATCGTAGCTTCTTACCATAGACAGGTAGATAATGATGACATGTTAGAGTTAATGTTTGATTTAAAACGGTTTCGATCACGCAAAATTGAGCTTTAAAATAAATTCAGAATAAAGCAGACATCATACTGATTCTGGATGAATCCATGGGAAAAATACCGTGATTTGGAAAAGTTTTCTTTTTGTACTTTTCCAGGATTCAATAAGTAGCACCGAAGTAGAAAACATCTTAGGCCGGAAAAAACTAGGGACATGTCCATGAAATCCTCGAGATTTTATCACATATTCCGGTACACGTCTGGCTAGGGTCTTGTACGGAGCTATTTCAATTAGTTCTTCTATTTACCACCCTAGAATTATTGATATAGCATTTTTCTTTTGAAAAATCTTTAAAACAGGTTAATTTTCGTTCCTCCAAGCTTTCCTGTGAGAAGAATGGTAGCCACATATAATGCTTTACACCAGAGCTGATCATCTGCATAATTTTTCATCTCTGCGTGGTAGAATAAATAATAATAATAATTTTCTTTACTCTATATTTTTAGTTTAGTTTAAACTTTATTCACTTAAGAAAGAGAAATAAGAATAGTCATTTTACACTGATGCTCTGATGGTTTAGGCTATTATATCACAGGAAAATGACATATCAGACCATATAAGCGATTACCGATAAGACGTTTCTTTCCTTCCTCTTAAATTATCTAGCAGACATACAAAAAAATCTGTTATTTAGTTTCTTTCCATTCATAAAAGAAAAAGAAAATGCCGAGAAGAAAGTGTTGCGAACATCCAACACGACATATCGACTCTCCCGGTGAACCAAAAGTTCAAAGATCAGTTTCTTTACGACTCGATCGATTTATGCGTGACTGGTATGATCTCGGTGATGTTAATGTAAGTGGACTCTGTGCGAAATGCCGCGCATTCGAGAGCAAGCAGATGGCAGAAGATGAAGCGATGGATGTCGAAGAGACTATCAGTCCAAAGGATGATATGTTCAATGATGATGAACAAGACGAAGAAAAAAAAGAAGAAGATGATGATTATGATGATGATAACAACGACATTTGTGATGAAGACGAAAATAGTGATGATGATTCACTTCACGAACTAACCTATCAGCAACAAGAAGCAATGGAAACATTATCCAATGTTTTTCAAATGCTGAATATGAGCCTGATTCATGATCAGTGAGTTCACGAATTTCTTCTAGCTCTTTAAAACTGTTTTTCTTTTCAAGATCCAATGTTGTTCCAATCCGTCATCAAATCGATCAGGTGTACACAAATCTTCATCAACTGTGTAGTGTTCTCAAAGGAAAAATCAAGGCTCGAAACAAGCGAATCTTCATGAACTTCATATCGAGGAATCGAATGAAGTGTTCACAGGGCTAAAAAAGTTAGTTATTCAAGGAGAATAGTGCAGATGAACAGCGATTTTGTAACCTTTGATACTTTTAAATCGTAATATTATTCCCACAAATTATGTTTGTCTAAACGTTTCGATGCTTTGCATTTTCATCAGTAGACCTGATATCCAACGGAGCCATAGCGCATAATCCTAGATCTAGGAAGGTGGAAAAGTGATCAAAAAATGATGGCTTCCATCATAAGTTTTAGCCTAATTTTTAATGTATTATAAGAATTATAGTTTATGTTCTACTTTCTAGATAAGATTCTTTTTCGTGTTTGATATTTTTTAAAAAATTTCGATACTTTTTAATTTTCGTGGCTACTGATGAAGATGCAAAGCATCGAAACGTTTAGACAAACATAATTTGTGGGAATAATATTACGATTTAAAAGTATCAGAGGTTACAAAATGCAGCATAAGCGTACTAATAGCTTATATCAAGTGAACAGCGACTGATGACTATCGCACCAAAACGTGGGGTCGTCGAAAAATCGAAAGATGGTGCGTAGATTGTAAACGTCCTATTTATGTTTATAGTTATGAAACTAATTTTCTGTCCTTTTTTCTCTTAGGTTTCGATCAACGGAGTAGCATGCGCGTCAAACGATTCAGTCTCGAGACAATAACAATGTCCTCGCTTTTTCTCAATATCTCCGTGGCAATCCAGCAGTCTCTACAGAAGCAATCATCGCTGTCATCGAATTCTATCAGGAAGATTTTCGAAATTTTTCATAGGCGTGGAACGAAAACTACCAACGAACATCTAAGAAATCACCTTCTTCAATAGTCGAGAAATTTACGATGAATAATCTGCTCTGTTGAGTCAGAAGATTGCCACACTGTTGAATGTGACCAATATACATCGGCACAACTACGAAACCTTCTCACCAGACACATGACAATCAACGTTGATGACAACTATTCGTGGACTATTTGGAAAAAAGTTAACAACAAATTCGATCTTCAAAAAGTGACAGGTTCCTCGACTCTCTTGTGAAATAGAGGAGCAATGACCTTATTTTCTTCTACATGCTTATTACAGTCGACAACAGCGAGAGTTTACATCACTCATCTTCGAACACAATCGACTGACAAGGCCTTCATCACTGCACAGATCGACTTCTTCATGAGCTACATCCTCGTTCGTCAGCGTGAAGTGCAATAGGGTTTCTTTTTTCAACATCAAGCGACCCTCATCAGCGTTCATCTAATCATCGGATCAGAATATCGAGATATGGCTATTGTTAGTGATTCCATGGAGCATACCACGACATTCGTCTATTGTGCTCAAAGTATGAGCGTTAATTTTGTGAAGAAGCATTTTCCTCGTGTCAAGAAGATCAGTTATTTTTAAGGTAAGTATTTTGTGCAAAATGTGTCTTCACTTCTCACCCTGAACATGAAGTTTTCATATTTCTGTCGAAAGAAAAACTCAAACGATACTCTATGCTAACTTTTCTTAGCGATGATACAAGCGCCCATTTCAAGCACAATCTCAGTATGCTCAATTTGGCCTATCACAAAATCGACTTTGACCTGGATACATGGACATTTTCAGCCACTGGTCATGGGAAGGGCACTGGGGATGGTGTGAGTGCTTTTCTAAAGTCGACTGCGAAACGTGCAACTCTCTCAAAACGTGTGCATCTCTCCTCGCCGAAGGATTGTTATGACTTCTTGAAAAAGCATCAACTTGAAACAGCCAAAGCCAGTGGAGAAGGAAATCCAACTGTGTATGTCTTCTATCTCGAAGCTGGTAAAGTCGGAAAAATTAAAAGCCGTATCATCAATCCCAGAATAGAAAAACTCAAATATACAGGTAAAGCTTTGGTAATTTTCTGATTCTATTCTTCTATATGTATAATTCAGAACAATCAAGGGAATTCCTAGTATGCACGAGTTTTAGATCTCATTCGAAAAGTCAATCAATTATCGTCGTACTTCAAGATCTCGTCATTCAAACACGTTCTCCTTTGAATAGAAATTTACATCAAGCAAATTATTCTTTATAGAAAAAATAGTTATACAGTGAAATTCACAATATTTTTTGACTATCAAAGGTTGATTTCGAGCCTTCCGGAAGACGCAAATGAGTGCAGATGAACTCATTTTACATGTATTTCAGTTAGAAAATACGATATTAATAATTCTAGAATGGTATATAGAAGAACTAGTTGAATTATTTCCATACGAGACCCTAGCCAGATACGTACCGGAATATGTGACAAAATCTCGAGGACTCCATGGACATGTTCCTAGCTTCTTTCTGTCGGATATGTTTTCTACTTCTGTGCTACCGCTGAACTCAAAAAAAGTACTCAAAAAAACTTTTCCGTAAAGGTGGTATTTTTCCCATGGATCCACTCTCCTTCGTGGAGATATCACTTCAAGGCCCGTCAGAAGCGTGTAGAACCGAAGTGTTGAAAGATCTGTGTATTCAACATAATACATAAAAACACACTTAAAACCACAACTATTTACATAAAATTTACACATATTTAGACATACGAGAAACAGATGAAAATAGAGTATATGAATGAAACATGATGTCAAGCAGAACAAAGAATAGGCTATTAAATGTGAAAACTATTTTACTGGTCCATTAACATTTCTAATGTCTAAAGAAGAATTTTTATCACATTTAAAAATAATGCAATCTACACTGGCTATTATAAATAAATCATATAAAATCATTATTACGGATAGTATCTTTTTTTGTTAGAATACGACATAAATTAGCGAATGATACAATGTAAGTGTTTGATAAATGAAAATATCGCTTAAATTCGTCACCATCTAATGGTCGAAATGATTTTATATGATTTATTTATAATAGCCAGTGTAGATTGCATTATTTTTAAATGTGATAAAAATTCTTGTTTAGACATTAGAAATATTAATGGACCAGTAAAATAGTTTTCACATTTAACAGCCAATATGATCATTCTTTGAATATACCATCCATAAGTGATAAAAAACATTTTAAGATTAAGTAAAACGTATCCTTTATGATTAGTTAAATGTAATACATTTTCATTGCATTCACAAACAAAATATACACGATAGTTATTATTCTAAATATTTTTAGAATTGTATGTGTACTCTAAATCAGGCAAAACAATAAATAATTTTGGTATACTATCATTAGTGTTCAATTGAAATATTTCATCTAATATATGTTTAACATTTGAATCGTTTGATGGACTACTGACAATCGAATTACTCGTTTTGCATTCACTAGGAGGCAAGGTCGGATGACCTTTAGTCGTTGAAGACATTAATCCATAGTTAGATACTGGAGGACTCGTTTGTATCTCTTTAATTGTTTTCATCAGCTCTAAACATGTTGGCCGTTGGTCCGGCTCTTGAGCCCAGGCACTGCTAATCAACGACTGAAATGCATCCGGGACATCGCTAAGTACTTCTAGGCGATTGCCTGCTTGTACAGATGTACAGATGACCACTTAATCAGCATTTTCGTAGGGTAAGCGGTCAGTAGCCAGTTCCCAAAACACGATGCCTAAACTGTACACATCGCTCTTTATTGTGTGTCCAGCAAATTTCAGAAGCTCCGGTGCTTTCCATTGTATTGTACCCACAGATGGTTGCCTGTCGCAAACCTTCATCGCGCATCTGAGCTAGAACGAAGTCCCCAACTTTCACGAGAAAACCACCCGTCTCCTCTGCCATGAGAAAGTTCATGGATTTGATGTCGCAGCGCAAATTTGGTGGCTGAAAAAGGTGTAAATGATTCATCCCTTTCACCATTTGTAACGCAATCGCGAACCGACCTGGTCACGTCAGAGTTCTCTATTTCGAAGATAACGATCGTACATTTTAACTTTTGCATCCTGATCTCGAGCAGAAAAAGTATATTTCTCTATGATTTGGATGTCGTGATCTGTATAGAACGAGATTCGCACTATGTGGTGTTTATTTTGAACAAAACTCATAACAAAATACGGTTTTCAGGCAAATATATTATGAATATTTTTGAAAGAATTACCTCTTATCATTATTTCGTCTGTCGAAAACATAAGAACGAAAAGAATTCAAAAACTATAGTATAACGAAGAATCATGTGAAAAGAAAACGCGTCAGCTTTGTTCGTTCTTTTTTGTTCTAACAGACAATGATGTACGGGATGAGACTAAATCAATCGGATGAGAACACAGGGATGAGAAAAAATGAATGGGATGGGAATAAACCAATGGGATGAGAACATAGTGGTGGGAGAAAATCAAGAAAACCCATGACTTATCCCCTTTTCATATGATTCTGTATTACATATACATTTATCCACAGGATGACACAGAAGCTTGATACGTACTATGAATGTCTTCTTCCTTGTTTTTGTGTGAAAATAATTTCTTTAATATCATGGCATTTTATTTTTGTAAAATAGAAAAAACTTCACGTTTAATATAGAATGAGAAAACAAGATATAATAACAATAAGAAGAAAGAACACAAAATAAATTCCATTACTTCTATAGTATATTCACACCTAGAATTAGTTCTTTTATTTCAGTAGAATAGCGTGTGATTTTAGATGCGTATATGTTTTCATTTAATATAGTATTTGTTTTATGGTAGAC